CATATTATATATAATATATAATAATATAATTAATTCAAAAACTATTCAATATTGGACCAATATTGGACTCATTTCGAAGGTATTAACGAGACGATTATAATGATTTAATTTGTTAAAATAAAAATATATTTTTTAAACATGTTATGATTGATATAATTATGTGTTAATTTGATAAGGGTGTAAAAATATTCAATATTAGACTTATTTCGAAGGTATTAACGAGACGATTATAATGATGTAATTTGTTAAAATAAAAATATATTTTTTAAACATGTTATGATTGATATATAATTATGTGTGTTAATTTGATAAGGGTGTAAAATGAAAATTTTAAAAGGAAATGATATAAAGTAAATTAATTATCTAATTACAAGGGTATGAAATGTAAATTTAAAATTAAAATTTTAAAAAATTCAGTGAATGTGAGGGAAAGATGTGAGGAGGAGGGGGTGGGAAGTGACGTAAGGGGTTGATATCCAACCCCTTTTATAATTGTGTATTGTGTATGGTTGTATAATTCATTGTTTAAAAAGAATCTTTCATACCATAATCTCATTTTATAATCAACATTTCTTCTCTTCTATTCCTTTCAAGATGTTAGCCATGTATATTGTATTCCAAAACTTGTTGATGAATGATGTTGAAATTTTATGATTAATTTTAAATATTAAGAATACGGTAATAAAGAAAATTTAAAAGGTTAGTGGTTTACTTATAGGGGGTTTAGCATAGGTGTAATTAGGTTAGGTAGAAGGGTAGAGGGTAGATAGACGGTAGGGTAGCTAGGGGTGGTTTAGGAGGTTAGGGGTAAGGGTAGGAAGTAGAGTATGGTAGGAGGGTAGAGGGTAAGAATATGGGGATGTGGGTAGGGTTAGGTAGACGGTAGGGTAGCTAGGGGTGGTTTAGGAGGAGGTTAGGGGTAAGGGTACGAAGTAAACCACCCCTAGAGTATGGTTTAGGGTAGGGTAGGGTAGGAGGGGTATAAGAGGGGTAGGGGTAAGGGTAAGGGTTTAGGGTGGGAGGGGTGAGGGTAGGGGGGTTTAGGGTGAGGGGAGGGGCTAAGGTAGGGTAGGTAGACGGTAGGGTAGGTACCTCCTCCCTATCCACCGCCCCTATCCCTTCCTCCTAAACGCTACCTATCCCTTCCTCCTACTCCTAAACGCTACATATCCCTTCCTCCTTCCTCCTACTCCTATATACCCCTAAACGCACTCCTATACTCCTACCTATCCCTTCCTCCTACTCCTAAACGCTACCTACCCCTTCCCTTCCTCCTACTCCTAAACGCTACCTACCCCTAATTACCTAATTACCCCTACCGTCCTCCTATCTTCTAAACGCTACCTACCCCTAATTACCTAATTACCCCTACCGTCCTCCTATACCTAAACCACCCCTAAACATCCTCCATCCTACCTCTAACCGACCGACCCACACACCACTCCCACACTCCTCCTACCCTTTTATCCATTCCCCTTACGTTAGGTCGAGGGGGGAGAAAATAATCATCATTTAGACATCTTGGAACCAAACTGGAAATTAGAAACTCAAAGATCAAAACCAGTCAAATTCTTTAGAAGATTTTTTAAATATTTTATATTAGATAACAATGTACATAATTTAGAAATAAAAAAATCAAAATGGTATCGAGATATAAAGAATTTGATCAATCAAAGGTAATTATGTTCAAATTCTTCACTTGCACCTGGAAAAAGATAAGTACAAAAAAAAAAATCAATATGGCATTGAGATAAATTATGTTGAAATTCTCCGTTTTGTACATGTATGCCACACAAAAAGATTTGTACAAGACAAAACCCAAAAAAGACATAAACCCTGAAACTAAAATTCTTAAATTAAAATTTTGAGATTAAGTTTTGATAATAAGCCTTATCATTTTTTTAATATATAAAAAAAACTTATAGTTGGATCATAGATTGATAGATTATTACCTTAAATTAAAATTTTGAGATTATTATGGGGGTTCATATCCCACCTCCTTACGGCACTTCTCACCCCCTCGCATGCATCGAATTTTTTAAAATTTTAATTTTAATTTTAAATTTACACTTTATATTCTTATAATTAGTTAATTAATTCATTTTATATCTTTTTCTTTTAAATTTTTCATTTTACACCTTTATTAAATTAAAATACATAATCGTATATTAATTAAAACATATTTAAAAAATACATTTTTATTTTAACAAGATATATCATTATAATTGTCTGTTAATGCCTTCGAAATAAGCCCAATATTGAATAGTTTTTAACTTAATTATATTATTATATATTATATATACTA